TTATTTCTTTTAGTCTATAGGTTTCTCCCATTTTCCACCCCCTGCTTCTTTTTTTGTCCTTCCAATATATTTGATGAAGACACTGGCAGTTTCTCCCGTAGAATTTCCCTTAGTCTGGATTTTGTTGATTGTGCCTCTCATTAATATTCTTCTATCCCCTGTATTTCCTGTATATTAGTAATTAATCTAGGTCAGGGGTGGGCAAACTTTTTGACTCGAGGGCCACAATGGGTTCTTAAACTGGACCGGAGGGCCGGAACAAAAGCATGGATGGAGTGTTTGTGTGAACTAATATAAATTCAAAGTAAACATCATTACATAAAAGGGTACGGTCTTTTTTTTTTTTTTAGTTTTATTCATTTCAAACGGGCCGGATCCGGCCCGCGGGCCGTAGTTTGCCCACGGCTGATCTAGGTGCTTGACCAGATTGGTGGGGTGTTAAGTATATTTTATGTGATGATATCCTTCCATCAGGACACACACATGGTGTCCGCTTGCTTCACTTTTCATTTTAGCAGCCACTGATGAGCATGCCTAGGCAATAATTTCCTAATATCCCTAAAGTTCTTTTTCCTTTTCTTTACTTGAAATTTTAAATTGAGATAGTTATAGAGTCACATGCAGTGTAGGGTAATACAGAGAGATCCTATCCTGTTTATACTTCTGTTTCTCTTAATGGTATAACATTTTGCAAACTATACCATCACAACCGGGATACTGACATTAATGCAATCCACTGAGCTTTACCTCTACTCATTTGTGTGTGTGCGCGTATTTAGTTCTACAGTTTTATCACCTGCAAGTTCTTGTATGGCACCACAGTCAAGATAGTGAATAGTTCTATCACAAGATATCTATTGCCTTATTACATACTTCTCTCCCCTCTAAAACCCCCTCTTCCTTAAACTCTTACTATTAAAATATAAGACCTCCTGATTTGACTCCCTAATATTATTTTCTTATTTTCTATTTCTTTATCTTTTCTTATGCTTTCTGGGTGAGTTCAACTTCATCTTCCAACGAATTGCTTTGGCTATAATTTTTAATTTCCAGGGACTGTTCCTTGCACCAATTTTCCCTTTTTAAAGCATCCTGTTCTCATTTAATGGATATAGCATCTAGCTTTTCAAAATATCAATGAGGGTATTTTTCTGATCCCTCCATTATATCCTCCCCGCTCTATGTGTGATTCTTAGGTATTACAGATTTTCCTTAAATATCTGGGGATCCTGGCTCCACACTCCTATTTATTAGGCACTAAAGAGTTCAATGAAAACACCATGTATACACACACACGACTTGAAAGCAGGTTTCATGGAAGTGATAATGTGATAATCAGGCATGTTATCTAGACACAAGCAAAAGTGAGTGTCTGGAGATCATTTCTCTGGAGGTAGTTTTTCTGAAAACAGCATTCTGCAAACACAATTAGAGAGCCCACATTCAGAATGCAGATTTTAACTTAATCCATATTTTCTTGTCTTAGTCCTCACTTGAGGCATTTTTTTTCCCATTGATTTTTTTAGAGAGTGAAAGGAAGGGGGGACTGAAAAACATGGATTGGTTGCCTCCCACATGTGCTCTGAGGGGGGTGGGAAGACAGGGATTGGAGCCTGCAACTGAGGTACAAGGTACGTGCTCTTATTGGAATCAAACCCATGATCCCTCAGTCCGCTGGCCAATGTTCTAACCACTGAGCAACCAGCTAGGGCTTAATCCATATTTTCAACCCTATATCTAATCCAAGCCTTCTATTATGCCTGGCATCCTGTAAGTCCTATGATCTTCTAGTTAGTTTTTAAATAGCATTAACCTTTGACTTGCTGCTCGAAAAGGGGGGTGGGGGCTGCCCGGCTTGCATGGCTCAGGAGTTGAGCATCAACCTATGAACCAGGAGGTCACGGTTCATTCCGTCAGGGCACATGCCCAGGTTACGGGCTCAATCCCGTGTTGGGCATGCAGGAGGCAGCTGATCAATGATTCTCTCTTATCATTTGATGTTTCTTTCTTTCTCTCTTTCTCTCTCTCTATATATATAACACACACACACACACACACACACACACACACACACACACACACACACACACAAGTGGCCAGAAATTATGACCATCCCATCAGTACTTCGTTGGGCCACCTTTTGCCTTCAATACTGCGGCGATTCTTCTTGGCATCGATTCCACAAGATGTTGAAAGGTGATGCGAGGAATCTGACACCATGCCTGATGAATAGCACTGTCCAGTTCTGTGAGATTTGATGGTTGTGGAACCAGCTGCTTGATGGCTCTTTTAACT